ACCAGATATCGCAGCGTTTTCAGCTCGACCCTACGCAGTCAACATTCTCCCGTCCTTGTCTGAACCCAAGGCACGAACCAGACGTTCGGTTTTCTTGTGGCGAAGCAACCTCCACACAGGCAACTATGGCCGGGCTCCACGTTGCCGCGGCCTCAGATGATCTTGATTGTTCGTAAGACTTCGTTTAGAACACGACCGAGGTCATTGCAGACGCCCTGGCCATGGCTAATGCCGGCAAAACGGCAGACGAGATTGAGCGCCGTGCCGCGCGCTCAGCATCTCAGCTTGCTGTCTTGCTCCCCCACCTACTCTGCGCCCAGTTCGTGGTGAAGTACGGCGCCCTCACGTACTGCGAGGCAATGCAGGTGCGGACCCTACAGCCGTGTGAAGACATGGCCAGAGACTCCTGCATCAGGAATTTTACCGCATGCTTCGCGGCGAGCCTCTGGACGCGCGCCTCGCCCACATCGAGGCTCGTCAGGCCAAGGACATTGCCACAGGCGGGGACCACCGCGGCGAACACCGCTACAACGAGTCGCGGCCAGCTTCCATGCTTTTCTCAGGACTCCTCTGGCGCGGGGCTGACACCTACCAACATTGTCGAGTCGCGAAAGGCCTGCTTACCGACTCTTGGGAGGTTCAAACTAGATGCATCTTCTTCAGGCGACGATGACATAACGGTGGCCGAGCACATAGCTTGGAACCCCAAGGCCAGTAAACTGCCATGCATTCGGCAAGCATCAACCCCTACAGCACAGGACTCGCCATGGCTCTCATACACTGAAAATTTTTTGGTGGCATTGTGGTTCTCCTTTGCCAAGGCAGGCCTCACCCACATAATCCATTACACTCTCGTTTGTAGCCGTGCCAGGCCACGCCCGGGGAAGTAAAGGTGCTGGCTGCCATCGATCCCTATGATCATGCGACCTTCACTTTGGCAAAGGACAGAGTCCTCTGCTTGTCTGTTTCGTTAGTGCCCAAACCTCCAGGACGCCGACCTGTCCATCACTGGCCGACGCCGACAACCGGGAACCGGCATGATGTCAAAGGCGCTTGGGGCATCCGGCCACGATGACCATGCCTGGTGCCTTTGCAATCGTGCACAGGCCCGAAAGTTCACCAACTGGGCGGAGGAGCGGTTGCT